CCAATACGCGCACCGACACGGGTGTTGGTCTATGGGCTTGATACATGCGCCGGTGCGTCGGTGTTGCTGGACCCATCACTAACTATAATAAAAACCATTTACAATGTATACATGAGAAACTTAATTGAGCAAAAGTCAATAACAAACAAATGAATTAGGGTCACAAAAGAAAGACAAATCTGGTTGTTAAACAGATACAAGTAAAAATTCACATTTTACTTTTAAGGTGCCATTTATATTATTCTGAGAGACTTTTTGTTGGTAGAGTCTGTTGAGACGCTTTACCAGGTCGATAGTCACACGCTGTCAGACAAAGGGCCCATAGTAAAGCGTAACATGTTGATTCTGTCAGACACCAAGGCTCATTCCTCAGAAACAGAAACTTATCAGGCCACAGAGACATGGTGTGATTTCAGGGAGTGTCCATATCATCAGCTGCCCTCCTTCTCCTCAGACCTGCTCAGACTTTTTTACAAACTCTTTGAATGTAATGGTAAAGCGTCTCCTTTCAGCGCTGAAAGTTAATAAAATAAGTAAAGTCTGAATGCTTTTGTTGGCTGATTTTATGCTCCGTGTGTCAATACAAATTATGATTCATCGATTGAGATTTTCATTTTTAAGTCTTACACAAAACGAAAAATAAGATGAAACTATTTAATCTATGATGGTGGAAATGTTCCTTTGACTCTAAAGTGATCAAATAAAACACATTCTTAGAATCACAATATCAACCATTTGTTCATAGAGTAGCGCTTTGGATGCTACAGGTAAATGTTATCATTTAGTTTGGTTAAGAATAATTATTGCACCATCAATGAATGACTTCTAATCGATGTTCCAGGTACCAGAACATCGATTAGACCCTCTGAGTTTGAGCTCAGAGGGTCAAACTGATGAATAAAGAGGATGGATGTTCTTTCAGCAAACAGTTGAGGCAGAGTTGATTTTGGTTTCACCATCATTTGCCTGATATTTTACCTGCTATTCAAACTATTCTTAAAAGTTTGTCTGTTAATCTGCAGCTCATGTGACCGAACCAGCCGAGGAGATGAGAAGCTAAAACACAACATTGTCTTTACACAACCTCTAGTTGTTTAACCCTAAGGTCTCTGGGTCTTCTTAAAAGGTAGAGTTTCTGAGAACAGTTCTTAAAAACCTAGCCACTGTTTTCAGCAAAGTTGAGCTGAATGTCCAGGAATGATCCAAAGTTTCAAAGTTCTGACCAGAACTCGGTTCTGTTAAAGCCCGGATCCATGGAAACTGTTCAAATCCTCCAATCAGGACTATTGGCGCCCTCTTCTGGTTGATATAAGGTATTACACCTCTTCTATATTGTGTCTCTTAATAAATAAATGGCCACTGGGGGGCGCTAAACCATCCTATGAGCCGCCGTGTTGTCCAGCTCATCTGGGTTTAAATCGCATTTGTGGTCCTGCTGAGGTGAAAACATGAACACTGAGCTACCTGAGGTCCGCCTCCAGAACCGGGCTTGGTTTGACCCGGTTTCACTAACGAGCTGGATCAGAGAAACAGACGGAGGACCTGATGAGCTTTGGGCTGGATTATGTTGGATGACTGAACATGGTTCTGTTATTCAGGTTAATCTGAACTCTTTAGGTCCAGATGTGAACAGGTTTGTCAGAACCGGGCCGGGACTAAACAGAACCTCTGATCTGTCTGTAGTTCTGCTGCTTCAAGCTGCTGGAGGACAAACTGACCAACATCCTGACTTCCTGCTCCAAAAGCTTCCAAAAGAAACAAAAGTGAATTTGAAACTGGAATTAAACGAAAGTTTGTCATAAAAAAGAATAAAACGCCTCATTTCCTCTGAAGGGATTATGATGAGCAGGAGGTTAAAGCTGTTAGTATTTTAATGTTGTCACATTCAAAATGTTCACTTCATTATTACATATTTCATGAACATGTCTGCTCTCTGTCAGACCTGTAAATGGACCCACCAGCTTGTTTTGCTTCTGAAGATGAAAACAACAGGAAGTGAAGTCAGCAAGCAGATTTCTGACCTGTTGGTCTTCAGCCATCAGTAGAATCTCTTTGTTGTTTCAAATCTAATCTCAGATTTTTAATGTTTTCCTACAGAGTCACAAACTTCCAGATCAGTTCAGTAGAAACTGAAACCTTTTAATGAACTCGCTCCGAGTTTTTAACGCTCCTGAAGATTCAGACATGGAAACGATGATCAGCTGTTTCCACACCTGGAGCTGAAGGAATCTGGTTTATTGTTCAGTGGATTGTCTCAGATTACAGGCAGATTATTCTGAGCTGCGTTGATCCTCTGGTTGGACGTAAAAACTAACGGGCTGCTAAAGCAGGAGCAGGAAAATGACATAAAGATGTAATAAGAGCTGAAGGACATTTCTTTTATCCAGCTTTATGTTTTGCACCAACATTAATTTAGATTTTTCTGACAGATTTTTGGGAGTAAATCTGGATCAGAGTTTTGAAGGGAACCTAAAGAAGATATTCTTTTTGTTTCAGTCTTTGCTGATTATAAGTAACGTGATTACTCACCACTGATCTGAGAGTATTAATGAACTTTCTGCTTTTAGTCGTTTTACACAGAAGTTTTACGGTTTCGGTTAAAGATTTCTGACATGGCAAGAGCTGAAGCTGACCCGGAAATACCAGGGATTCTGCAGAACCGGACCGGGTTAAGGTTCTGAAGAACAATCCAGATTCTGCTCTCTGTGTTTGGATCTCAGACGGAACCATTTCCTGGTCGGTTCCGTTCAGCTTCGGACTTCATGCGTCCTGCGAGCCGTTCTCAACATTTCCCGTCCTGTGAGTTTGTTTCTGGGTTTCCGTTTGGACCTTCAGGTTCTGGTGGTGCAGGTGAAGCTCACCTGGCTGCGCTGCAGTTTTCTTCTCTGAACATTGCAGCGTTTGGCAAACACCACTGCCCCCTCATGGCTGTTCTGCGAATTGCACATTAAATACCTGGATATAGAAATAGAAGAGCTAGATTCTGCCATAAATTCAAATTTTACAAATATTGCTGTAAACTCATTCGTGATGATAAAGAATAACAATGACTAATTATCATGTCTTATAAGGAGCAGAAACTCCTGGCCCAGTTCCACAGAACCGGGCTGACTGGAAATGGGTCGATGGGACTCGGCCTAGTCAAAGGTTTGTGATGCGGTTTTCAGTTACTCTGAAGCTTCTCCGCACCGTCTGGCTGTTAGTTTGAGACAAGTGAGTAAATGTTTCAGTTTCTGACGTGGATCTGATTCATCTGATATAAATATAATAAAAACACTTAAAAAGAAAAATGATGTTTTGTCAACAGCAGAATAAAGATCATTAACTGATTATTGACTTTAAGGCTGAGCAGAGCTCAACGTGATTATTATTCCTCACATGTACTGATGAATAAATGCAGAGCAAATAATTCTGTTAATGATTTATGATAAATTAAATGTCTTATTGCCCTCCTGACCCGCGACCAGATATTAAAGTGGCTTGTTGCCTTGAAGGCATTTGATGTTTACCTTGAAATACTTTGGTTTCCTCATTCCTGCTCTTTGGAAACCCGGTGAACCGAACGACCATCAGAGCAGAAACTCAGACATCCGAGTCTGAGAAGCTGCTGAAACGTTTAAAGCTGGAGAACGATGAAGCAGCGAGTTCTTCCAGAACCTGAAGAACGTCTGAGGAACGACTTTTAAAAAGCTGTTTGAAATAAATCAGATCAAAATTAAATCAATCCTGTCTCTGACTTTCTGTTAATGCAAAGATGAGGAAATAATCTGAGTCTCAGCAGCTAAATTTTCATGTTCCTGGTTTTTATTTTCATTCTGTTTCTGCATCTGAAGCTTCAAATATTGAAGGACAGATTGTGAACTTTATACATGACATTAATATGTTATAATGACCCAAAACCTCAGAACGCTGTGATGTTTCAGTTTAATGAAACTGAAGCTCAAAGAATCAAACCGATGAAGAAAAACAGGATCTGAGGAAATAAAGTTTTTATTTCTTTAGTTTCGACCTGATGTGTTTTTATTATTGTCCTAAAATCTATTCAGACTTTGACGGCAGCATTTCTGATTCAATAAACGTAAAAATTAAACGTTTCACAAAAACTCAGGAGAGATGAAACGAGTTTGTTTTTCATTCTGACATGAAAGATTAACAGATAATAAAGTTAAAATCAAAGCAAAGCTGAAGTCAGATTAAAGCTTCAACAGTTTCCGATGTGAAGAAGCAACAAGGAGCTGCAGCTCTGGACCCAGTGGGGGTCCGACCCGAAACATCGTCCTGCTCTGACCGGCGCCACCTGCTGGACCTGCTGAGGTCAGAGGTCGGGGGGGAGGGAGTCTTCCTGCTGCTTCCCATCTTCATTCCTGATGACAGGAGGAGGAAACAACCTGGTTACCAACGGCAACGCAGACAAACATCAGAAAAAAATCACAAAATGTAAACAAAATTCTCACATAATCTGAAATAAAACTGAATCCAAACTGATTCTGACAGAAACGTCTCAGTGTTGATGGATCAGCACAGAGAAAACGTCTAAAGTTAAAAATCTCTTCTCACATGAAACAAAACTATAAAACCTGACTTTGATGATGAGCAATTAAAATCTAATTATCTTCATGGTTCTAAAATTACAAAAGTCTGTTGTCATTTTCAGATATTGTGAAATATTTTGATAATTTTTGGTTTCATCCATTCTGCTGTTTGGATCCTGGTTCTGTTTGTGGACAGATGGACTCATGTTTGGTCTACATGGTCCAGTCAAAGACCGCAAGCTGACCCAGCCCAGATCATCATACTTCCACCACCATGTTTGACAGTTGGCATGAGATGTTTCTACTGATCTGATGTCTTTGGTTCTGTCCGTCCCGGTTCTGTCCGTCCCGGTCCAATATCTCCTCTCTCGTCTCTGCTGACCTCAGTCCGGCGGCCATCTTGTTTCCAGAGAGAAGAAACTTCCTCCTTCAGTCCTTCCAAGCAGCCATATTGGTTCAGGTCATGACCTTTAATCTGCTAACTGAGATGGAGATCTGGGTTTCTGCACATTTCTCTGACCTCTGACCTCTGACCTTGGACTGAACCTGCTGAGACATCTTCCTCCTGGGAATAGTCTTCCTCTAAAGATGACCCTTGATCTTCCCAGGTTCAAAGGTCACCTGACGGACAGCAGCAGGTGGGTGTCTGAGGTCACGGCCGTCCTCTTGCCTTGATGCTGTGCTAATCCACTGATGACCAGTGAATTTAGGATTAAATTAACAGCACCGTAATTTAATCCTGGACCAGAAACGTTTCTATCAAGTTTCAGTACAAAAACCAAAACTCCTTCTGTAATCCGACATCTCCAACATTTATTATTATTATTAACCTTCTTTACTTTGTTGGTGTCCTCCTGTGTTTTTCCTCACTTTCCATGAAATCTCAGGTTTTTATCCAAAGTTCATGAAGGAAATATTTCTACTGGAACTCCAAACATCTGACCAATTATCTACCTGCAGTTTTCTTTCACAGATCCAGGAGTTTTTGATGCCACAGGAAACATCATTCCAGTTGTTTTCTGATTCAAAAAATCTCATTTCTCCACAGTCTTCGTTTTCACCGAGATCACTGTTTGGCTCATCAGGACCCCAGTAACTGAAAACCAAACCATGAAAATATCAGTCAGCTAAAGGTGACAGAAAACTGGAGATACAAATAACTCAACTAATCAGTTTAAATTATAATAATAATGATTAATTTGAACCACTAATATTCAAGTACAAAGCAAAGAAAGAAATGTTTTTGTCATGATGGCGTTTAGCTTCTTGACCCAAATGCAGAAACATTCTCATGGAGAGACATGGAAAAGTTTAACATTTTATTTACACAAATGAATAACGATGTTCGCTGGTCCAGAAAGGGACTGGAGGCAGGCCGTATTACTGAGAGTTTTTAAGTTGAGGCGATAAATACTTTAGTGTCTCAGCTGTTCTTCAGGCCAAATGAGGCCTGGATAATAAGATCATAGTTTAATTTCCTTTTTTCTGCAAACACCATTTTATTAAATCTGGTGAAATCCCTGAGTTATAGATGAACCAGACTGTTGTCAGACTCAGCTTGGTAACGTCACCATCTGGGCCTGCTGGTCCTCTAACCACTGACCTACCTGGTGTTCAGCCGAGTCCCGTCGACCCATTTCCATTCTCCCTCCTTCTCGGCGTCGGTCAGTCCGATCCAAAGCCTCTTTTTGTACCAAGTCAGGAAGTCCTGCTCGTCTCTGCTGTTGATGATCACCAGGTCTGCTCCTCTTTTCAGACAATCGTTCCTGCTTTCACCCCATGTCGCCACGGCAGAGGAAATGTAGTAGATGCTTGGACAAAATGTGGCCAGCCGTTGCTTGAAGGAGCTGCGCACTGGAAGAAAAGACAGAACCAAAACCTCTGATGGTGAGTCTGGAGACATGACAGACTGGAGCAGGTTTTGATATGAATGTCCTGATTGTCTCTCCATCAGTAAGTTAAATTTTGAGTGAAACTGTGCTCTGTTTTTTTTTTATACTCTTTATTTAACAGTTTTCATTACAATAAAACATACAACACACACTGAACTTGGGGCACTGATTCTTAGTTAAGTAAAAAGACAGAAAAAAAGAAATGTATATATACATTACAAGATATTACACCTAGTTATGCTTCCTTGCTCTTGTATGTCAGCCATTTAGACCAACGTTTGTTGTAAGAATGTCCTTTCATACGTAAAAGATATGTCAGTTTTTCCATAGAGTGAATCTCCTCCAGTGGTCCAGCTGGGGGGGAGTTTCTTTAGCCAAGATCGTGTAATTGCTTTTTTGCTTGCAATTGATAGAACTTTAAAAACGTACTCATCCTCTTTTTGAAGCAATTCTCCAGATATCAGCAGAAACATTCTAGGATCTTTGGGGATGACGTACCCCAAAATTACCCCAGTAGTCTGACAGATTCCATCCCAGTAAGCTGCCAACTCTGGGCAGGACCAAAATACATGAGAATGATTGGCGTTCCGATGTCCACATTGTCTCCAGCATTGCTGTTCTTCCCCTCTATGTCTACTAGTAATTTGCGGTGTAATAAAGTATCTAATTAAGCACTTCGATCCAAATTCCCTCCATCTTTTAGAGCTGGTAGACGTCTGTTGTGCCACACACATGGAAAGCCAAGCATCCTCTGTAATTTTTACTCCCAATTCCCTTTTCCATTTAGACTTAATATTCAAGGTGTTATTTCCATTATGTTTCTGCAACCCCTGAAACTGTGCTCTGTCTAATGCTTTCAGCAATCTGGTGCCTGACTAAACTCAGAGGTCATCAGGCAAAGCAACAGGATTGGGATGCAAACGGGACGAAAAGAAACTTCCTGATTTAACACCTTGAAATTGGGTTTCTGTCTCTTTAAGAAACTCCTGTTCTCTCTCCAGGACGTCGTCCAACATGGCTCCTCTATTAACCCTTTAATGTTTTTACCTGTGTTGCTCTGAGCAGCAGCTGCTATAAACAGCTGATTGCTGCTGGCTAGTCTGAAGGAGCTGGGTGAGGGAGGAGCTGCTCCTTGAAGGCGGGGCTAGGTCCACCCTGGTGTTTAGCAGCTGAATTAAATGCAGATTAAAGAATTTCTCAAAAGTGGAAGAATCAAAGCAAAACTGCAGGGACAAACATGACAACATGGTGAAAAGATCAAAAAGTAGATTTTATGTTCCGAAGTTTAAAAAGCAGGCGCAAACATTCAAAGGTTCAGCGTCGATCAGGAGGCATCGATGCAACAAGATATCGTTTCTCAAACATGTGGACATGTACAAAATAAAAAAGAATGAAAAGTAGAACAGAAAGCAGTTCTGAGTTTCTGCCTCCCACCTCCTTCCCTTTGCAAACAAATATACAGAAAAGAACCATAATAATCTTATAAATGCTTATAATGTACCTGAATCATAATGTGTGAATAAACAGTATGGACATGGACAGCTGGACTTATTTCTAGATAAAGTCAGACGACGTTTAATGAGAATAAAGGATGTGAAACGTTGTTCAGCTTATGACAATAATCACATTTTTAATGTCTTACAATCTTTTACAACTAAGAAAAGCAATCTGTCGGCAGTCCATTTAAATTCAAAAATACTTTATTGATCTAAAAGGGGAATTGAATGAAATGAGGTTCAGCATCTAGTTTGACCAGGATTCCAACCTGTTGCTCCATTTTATTTTATTTGCTCATATTGGCAGCCAAAGGGACAGGAAGTGGCCAGGCTAAAAGACTTCCTCTCTTTCATACATAAGAATTTATTTCTATCTAAATGAATTGCGAAGCTGGTTGGAGCATAACTGCATTATTTTAAGACAATTAGAAATACATATTGTGAAGGTTGAGCCACAATCATGAAAGCCATTCAAGTTTACTGAAATTTGTTAAAACACACATTGAGGTGAAATGAAGAACATTTTGAGGGAAATTTGACAGATGAAGTGGATTTGGCTCCATCTTGTGGCCAAACGGCTTTGTGAGCCTCATTCATTTACCAGGCGATTCAAAAGGTCCCTAAAATGGGCTAGTTTAAGCTAAAAATAACACAAAATAACCAAACCTGCTTGTGTTTTATGCTGTATGAGTTTCTTGCTGTTCTGTTCAAGTATAAATGCAGAAAATGTTCAACAGTCTGTTTAGGAAGCTCAGATTACAGCCAAACTACGGCTGACGAGTTCCAGTTTAGTTTGAAGATACAGATGTTTGTGTTTAACACAAAGGAGGGAGAGACGAACACAGAGCGGAAGAAACGGCTTCAAGACAAAACCTGAAAATTTGAGCTCATTTGGATGGATGTGATTTTTAAAATGGTTTTAAAGTTCGAAGCATTTTTCACATTTCTGTGAATAACGCCCGTCCTCCAACCGTCTCCACATTAAATACTTAAGGTAAGACGGTGGCATGGAGATGTGTGCAAACTTTGGCAAAAAGCCAATCAGCTGTTCTTGCATAATAAATTTAGCAATTTTACAGCGCCACATAGTGGTGGACTTTGATAAGAACAAGCTAGACATGATTGACATCCTGTTGTAAATCATTCCAGCCACCATCATTTATTTGTACTTTGCCCAGAAAAGGTGATGCAGATTATCTGCTGCTTATGTGGGACAGATTAATGCTAACATGTTCATCACTTAAACCAAAACAAAAAACACATGAGCTTAAATGTTGTGCCACATTACTTATACTTGTATGCAAATTAGTACAAACACCTGGCAGACTGCCACCACCTGTTGGAGTAACCATGGCAACAGTCCCTGCTGGTGTGCATGCAGACAGGTCAGCAATTCTCTGAGGGATTTTGTCCCACATACTCACATGCTGTTAAATTCACAACAAGGTGTCCGTCCTCGCTGCCATAAACACATAACAGCCTTTTCATCTGTTGGATCTGTGCAGTCAGGGCTTCAGGCGTCTCGCCAGCGGGTTCTGAAGTCGGGTTCTGGTCGGGTTCCCCGGGTGGGACAGACGGTGGGACAGACGGTGCCAGAGTCCTCGGTGTGGTGTCCAGTCAGGTTTTGGGAACAAGCTGTGGTGTGCACAAAGTAAGTTTATTCTTACAAACGTTGAACTGTAAAGGCGAATCTGATACTTGAACTAAACGCGTCTTGCAAAGCAACAGCCTGAATCGTCGTCGTTACAATATCAACGTGTGCAACGTCTCAAATATTCTCAGCTCGTCACTAATGAATCCTTCATGCTCACATGGATCAGAGGTTCTCAACATGTTGAGCATGAAAACAACATGACTATGTCAGAACAAATCTCATCTCAAAGCGAAAAGATACAGAAACACAGAAAGAGACTGGACCTGTCATTTAAAATTATTTTCATATGTTTTTATAAAATACCTTCTCCAAATATTGAGCTCCTCCCTCATTCCTATGGCGAGTCCAGCCAGCCTGTGCAAGAAGTTATTTTTACCAATCCTGTCTTGGCACTTCAGTTGTTCCGTAGAGTCGCTGGTAGCCGACATGTCAGGCCGGATTTACTGACACAAAGGAACTCAAGAGGTTTCCTTTCTTGCATGATTGACTTGATCAAATCAAACGGTCGGCCTCATTGATGCAGTTGTTTGTGACCTTCAGCTGCTGGGTCACATGTGGCAGCAGCAGCTGCTCTGCAGGGGGCGCTAAGGCGGAGGGGCCAGAAGGCCAACCCCCAGGCCTTCTGCTCCTTCGTCGCCCAGACAGCAGACTCTACTTTCTTCATGACCTTAAGAGCTTCACCACTCCACCTCTTATCTCGACCCGGAGGGTCAAGAGGGCCGAGCAGAGCCCAGCTTGGTCCCCGTAGCCCACCGTCAGCCCGCCTCATCTCAGAGAGCCAACGGGAACCAACGGGTCCAGAACCAAGAGAGCGGCAGGCAAAGGTTCCTGTCTGGGCTGCAGAACTGAGCATTTCAGGAGCTCATTTATCCTCACAGCCATCAGCAAACACAAATCCTACTGTAACCTGTAATAAAGACCTGACTGCATACCGTCTGTGGTATGTTGCACACCTGGTACTTTCTGGAAGTACTTTTACTTTTCTCTTTTTACTTGAGGTCTATTTGACTGACGACAGGAAGTAGAGGTCAAGGCGCCGAGCAGCAGCCGCGCCACCAGGACAGGCAGGACCTGCTGCTTCACACTGCAGAAACCTGAGGCTCAGGTTCTGCCATGTTCCATCACAACGCCACCAAACCTCAGCCGGATCTGGCAACTGGAGTCCAAATGTTCCCAACAGAACCATCTGCTGTTGGGCTGCAGTTTTACTGGGAATGGACCAAAATGTTGTCCTAGTCTTACTCACCACTTTCACCCACCTGTGCTCACACACACATTCATACAGTGACACACAGATCAGGAGGCAGCCTGGGTTGGTGCCTTGGCCAGAGGCTGGAGGAAATCTGGAATCGAACCCAAACTTTCTGATTATCTGACCACCACTGATCCAGAGTTCATTCAGCAGAGTGGGAGGAAGCTGGTCTAGTCAAAGCCTGAAAGCAGCGTCTACCTCAGACTGGTTTTCGGTCAATGTTTGGAACGTCCTGTCAGACAGGAAGCTGCAGCCAACTCACAGGAAGTCAGACGCAGTGAGACGTTGAGGGCAGATTGGAGGATGCAGAGAAAACCGAAGCTCAGGAGAAGCAGAAGGAAAAAGTTTCTTCCTGCGGAAAAAAACGAGAAACTCAGGAAACGACAGAAAGAGACTTTCTGAACACGTTCAGGGTTTGATCGGTCCAATACACTGTGTGTGTGTTTCTCTGTGTAATTGAACTTCTTGTCATGGGGCCCAGTGTTCCTGGTGCCGCTGCTCCATCATCCTGCGGTGAAGCTGCACTGTGACGGTTTTTGTTTCGGTCAGATTAGCAGATAAAATGTTCCTGACGTCAGTCGGTGACGATGGGCGAAGATGTGAACAGGAAGCTTATCAGCTCTTATCATATTCTACATGTGGTTATTAACCGATGTGTAGCAACAGCTCAAACACAAACGTACAAACACAGAACAGACGTTTTAACATTTTCAAATGTTAAAACGTTTTAACGTGAGTTAAAAGTTTCTCCATAAACTTCAATGGTGTTTTCAGTAACAGGCAGGCTTCAGCTAATCTGTGGGATTATTTTACTCACCTGGACTCTTTGCATCCCGGCTCTTTGCTGCAGATGCAGGTTCTTCATATTCCACTGAGATCTGATCGTCGATCGTCGCCATGTTTCTGAGAGCTGGAGGTCAGAGACGATCAGGTTGGGATCAGAAAGTTCAGGAATCTGAAAACTTTTTCATTTCCTGTTTCTGTTTCTTTGGCAGAATCATAACAAAAAGGAATGGAAAACTAAACAGATGTACAAACAGCCTAGAACAATTTAAATGGAGAAAATGTATTAATAAAAACACCTTCATCTAAACATCAACTAGGAAACACAACATACAATCAGGAGATCATGAGATCAGGAGGCTCGTCTCGCTGCATATTTCCTGTTTTATATGTTTAACAATATTCATTTCCTCATTTGTTTTGTTTTAAAGTTGAATAAAAGTTTCTAATATTATTTTTGTGTGAATTATGAGAAATATTCCTAAGTAATGAGGAGAACCGGTTTTAGACAGAAATGTGTTGCTAAAACGAGAATCGAGGAACAAGAACAACAAACAAAACTGTCTGTGGTAAAAACGGACAAACAAAGTTCTGTACTTACAGACGGGTGGAAATGTGTTGATCCACGGTCAGAACCGGACAGACTTCTGCTCAGAGGGGAAGACGGCACAGAGGAAGTTCTGATGGTTTTTGGTTCCTCCTCAGTTTTCTGCAGGGTGTCAAACTACAAGATGACACTTCTTACAGTAGCGGCTCTGCTGAGCTGGTTTTATGTCACCGATCGGACCAAAGCAGACCTCAGGACGTTATTACCTTCGTTCTCAAACAGTTATGGATTAACCCGTTACTGTCCCAGGAGCCGTTTCTTCTGACTGAGGCTCAGTGGAAGGGAGCTGTTGGTTTATAAATCACTGAACGGCTCAGAACCACAAAGCATTAAAGATCTGCTGCTGGGTCAACCTGCAGACCTCTCAGGTTCTGGCTCTGGTCTGCATCCAGAACCAGAACCAGTCGAGGAGAAGCAGCATTTTTCTCCTCAATCTGGAACAAACTTCCAGAAAACTGCAAAACAGTCGAAACACCGAGTTCCTTTAAGTCCAGACTAAAAGCCAGACGAACTCGACTAAATGTCACGTTTCAGTTGTTGATTCTTGCCTGACTTTGTGTTTTTGTGACGTAAAGCTCGTTGAAATGTGATATGGTTCTGGTTCTGGTCTGCATCCAGAACCAGAACCAGTTTGATTTGCAAATAAAGTTTAAGTCTCTGCTGGAGCGGAGAGGATGAGAGCCGTCCAGCTGTTGAACTCCGCCATTCGTCCGATCAGAGAAGGTCAAAGGGCAGACGGGGAGGAGCTTTGGTGCAACATGCAGGTTGGCCTCCGATGTGGCAACGATGATTCAATAACAATCTTTGTCATTATAGAACCAAATGTTACATGGATTATAACCAAATTAGTGAGAAAATAGAACCACAGGGTGTCTAATGCTCCTATGGCTACCAGGTATGAACTGTTCTTGGTCTGTTTGTTGCTCCTGCAGCCAGATGGCAGCAGGAACAAACGGACCAGGATGAGAGGCGTCTTAAAATATTCCTGGTTTTCCTGTGGAGATCTTCAGCCGATGGTCTGAGCAGATTTTATGATTCTCTGGAGAGTCTAGTAATGAAGCTGTTCCTCTCCCTCGATGGGTCGGCAGCCAGGCAAGGTGTGAACTTCATGATGGACAGTCCGTAACGCTGTCCACGTTCCAGGCGTCCAGCTGTGGGATTATTTTACTCACCTGGACTCTTTGCTGCAGATGCAGGTTCTTCATATTCCACTGAGATCTGATCGTCGCCAAGTTTCTGCTGGCAGCTGGAAATGATTTAAAGACAGGAAAAGTTCAGCTGCTGATGATGTCATCAACTTCCAGACTCTGCATGTCCAACACGTCTTTGGGATTTTCAGCCTTTTCTCTGGACTTTGCTGCTGGTTTCATTTCCTGGTTCTGAACGTTTCTTATTTTTGGGTTCATTGGACTCTTTAATTCTGACCTGCATCAACCTCTTAAGATGAAAAGAACCAGAATCTAAACAGAACCACTTTAGATTGAGCCTTTTTTCACCCTGAGATACAAAATGTTCCTGTTGACGGAACAGAAAAAAATCCTAAAACTGTTTGAAATGAGAAAATGACAAGATTTATTTAAACACCGAACAGGAAGCCTGCAGTTCGTCTTATGTTTCCTGTTTCATACTTTAAAAATGTTTATCTTTTTCATTTGATTGCATAATTTTTAATTTATGGTTAAAAGCTTTAAAGTTTTTGGTGAATTCGGAACAAACTTTCCTGAGGACTGAAGAGAATCTCTGTTGGTAAATCCAGTCAGCCTTCACCAGGACACTGAAGTTCTGTGCTTACAGACGGGTTCAGATGTTAACCCGGCCGGTCCGGTCCGGTCCAGACTCAGAGCTGCAGCAGAGGAAGCTCAGAATCAACTTTGGTTCTTTTTCCTAAGAAACCAAAAGATGAAGCTTATCAATCATCGGCTTCCTCAGGAAGTCCGTCCTGGTTTCATGTATCCGATCAGAACTTCACAACTTTACTTCCCAGATGGTTCCAACTTACATGTTCACAGAAGCAGAGTTTGTGTTTCTGGTGAAAACTGAAGACGTTCCTCACTTCAGGATCTTTCTGCCTCCTTGTCTTTTGTTTTCTGCAGCTTCTTATTCCGTTTCTGACAGATTAGGACTCAAACCGCAGAGACTCGACTGGAGCCTCAGACAGCCCGAATTCATCTTCTTACATTGATTCTGGATCTGGGAGCTTGGAGACGGGCTGGTTTCCTGAAGGAGAACGAAGGAGAGGAGGTCAGGAAAATCAGATCAGTCCTTAAATAAAACTTTAAAAACAACCAACAAGTTTAAAATGAACTGATTTCACAGTTAATGGGAGAGAGGAAGGTCCCACCTGGTCTGTACATCACCTCAGTGTTCGGCTCAGCCATCAGTGATTCAGATTAAAGGTTCATCAGGAGCCGAACCGAGTCTAAAGCCGACAACCAGTCAATGAGCACAGCGTCTCTCCAAACCATGAGAATTAAAAACAGATTAACCAACGAATCATGCAGAGATCTACTGAAAACCTTAAATGATCAGAGAGGAGAAAGGAGGAGCAGACCCAGATTCTGGTTCGGATAAAATCGTTTAAACAGAAAAACATGCAGACAAACCTTCAAACCCCAGGAAACGTCATGAAACCAAAGTGGCAGCGATTCATTTGAATCAACAACGAAGGAGGAAAACCGACACTTTTAATTCAAAGATTCATTAAAACTTAAATTAAAAGTCCATTAAAATCTTAAACCTTGTATTAAGTGTCATTCATGGAAACTTCATCTTCATAACAGAGGCATAAACATAACCCTTTCATATAAAGACTCAACCAGGTCTAAAAGTTTCTCTGTTCAGACAGAAACCAAGACGAGTCAAATGACTGGACAGGCGGCGCCGTCTGCCGGGTCCAAACCCGGGTCGGCTCAGGTGAGGAGAACCTCCAGAAACACGGAGTCATTTCATCTGGTCGCCTGGGCTCATAAGTATTCATACCTCAGATCTGCAGCCCAGAAGTTTGTTTGTGCAGGATATGAAAGACGGGAATCTTCCGAAAGACTCAAATGTGTTAAAGACGTTTCGATGTGAAACTTGTTCACATTTTATGGATTGCAAAAAAAAAAAAAAAAAAAAAAAAAAAACCCCCCACCAACCGGGGGAAAAAATATTTCCCAACCAATTCTCCCCCAAA